CGATCAGCGGTACACACCCCCTGCAGTACACACCCCCGCCCCCTAGTAAAACACTCCCCTCACACAGTTAACCCTTTCCCTGAATAATAAACTTAACCCCTTCCTCCCCAGTGCCATTAGTACAGTGTCAGTGGTTTTTTTTTTTGCACTGATCACTGTATTGGTGTCACTGGGGATGTCAGTGACCCCAAGTCAGTACCCCCCAATGTCAGAATGTCCGCTGCAGTCCCGCCATAAGTCGCTGATCGCCGCCATAAGTCGCTGATCGCAGCCATTATTAGTATTAAAAAAAAACTAAAAATCCCAGTATGTTTCCCGCCATTTGTAAACGCTATTACTTTCACGTAAACCAATTTACACGTATTGGGTTTTTTTTTTTTTTTTAGCAAAGACATGTCGCAGAATGCATTTTGGCAGAAATTTATGACTAAGTTTGATTTTTAAATTTTTTTTTACTGGACATGTTTTATAGCAAAAAGTCCAAAATATTGTTTTTTTTCCTCAAAATTGTCAGCCTTTTTTTTTATAGCGCAAAAAATAAAAACCGCACAGGCAATCAAATACCACCGAAAGAAAGCTCAATTTTTGTGGGAAAAAAAAAGGATGTAAATTTCATTTATGTACCGTATTGCATGACCGCGCAATCGTCCGTTAAACTAGCGCAGCGCTGTATAGCAAAAAAATGGTGTAAATTGCAGTATCTATACCATAGTTTGTAGACGCTATAACTTCCACACAAAGCAATCAATATACACTTATTGGGATTTTTTTTTTTTTACCAAAAACATGTAGCAGAATACATTTTGGCCTAAATTTATAACCAACTTTGAGTTTACTATATATTTTTTATAGCTGAAAGTAAAAAATATTGTTTTTCTTCAAAATTTTTGGCCTTTTTTTGTTTATAGCGTGAAAAATAAAAAGCGCACAGGTGATCAAATACCACCGAAAGAAAGCTCTATTTGTGTGAAAAAAAGGACGTAAATTTCGTTTGGGTGCAGCATTGCATGACCGTGCAATTATCAGTTGAATTAGTGCAGCACCGAGTAGCAAAAAGAGGCCTGGTCATTAAGGGGGGTAAATCCTCTGGAGGTCAAGTGGTTAATTAGGCCTTGCTAGGTAATTTCTTAAAAAAAAAAAAAAAATTAAAAAAGGGGGCATATGCAGGTGACTTTTTCATCTCCAGACTGGGGACAACCATCCCTAATCTCCTACAAGAGCTTGAGGTTTGCTCCAAACTTTCTAACTACAAAATAATTTAACTATGTCAGAAGCATTAAAGCTTACAGTTCCCCATACTAAAATGCAAACATTAGAAACCAACATGCCTTTCAAGTGGACAAGAGGGAAACGCAACCATCTTGGGGTTTACCTTACCTCAAATTTACTGAATCTATATCAAACTCTTCCAAATTCAATCCCTTCTAGCTTCTGGAAATCAGTGAAATTTGAATTCTCAGTTTTTGTGGGCAGACCATAAACCCAGAATTAAAGTGGTTATAAAGGCTGAAGGTTTTTTTTACCTACATGCATTTTATTATTTTCATGGATATGAAAATAATATATGAGGTCTTGAAGAAATTGTCTTTGTTCCTTGCAACTAGTAAGGTTTACAGGAAGCAGTCACATTATAGCAAGGAAATGGTCCAATCACTATGGCTGGGAAAATCTCCACCTTGCAGCAGCACGTAACAAAGGGGCAGGGAAGCTAGTGCCATCAATGCCCTAATATGGCCAAATGTCATCAATTCCATTGTTCATATATTTAAAAGTGGCAATACTCAGTTAATGATTTCCTGTCTCTTTATTACATGCGGCTGCCAGGCAGGAAACTTCCCATGCCATAGCTGATTGGGCCAGCAGCCTGTTATCATATGACAGGTTCCAGTCTGTTCAGCCAGATACTTAGCTCATCACTACTAGCAACTAAGGATTGGCTCTTGAGGCTATTTGCTGATCATCTAGCTGGGCCTGGCAGAATGCATTAAAGAGGAGCTGTATGCATACGATATTCCCTCCACCCTAGATTATTGCACTTATGTCTACAATAGATAGTCTTTTCCTGATGAAAATGCAACTTCACCATGTGTGGCTTAGTGAAACAGAGTGCAGTTAACATCAGTCAGTAAAGGTCACTTTTTTATTTACTATAATGGAAAGTAGGAAGCTCTACTACATAGGTCACTGGGAAGAGGATCCCCATGTGACGTTTCTTCCTCTTCTCTTTAACAAAAACTTTTTGGACTGTGGCTTTCATAGATTCCATAGCATCCAGCACTTTTATTGTCTTGTCACTGGGAATAAAGTATCATATTAAAGTTGTCTAATTAAATGATCATTCCTACTATTAAATAGAAGTACCAACTATCAAACCTCTTTTCATATGCACTGCTGCCATTCACAAAAGGTCTATGATCTTTCAGGGCTACCGTGGGTCCTCACTTCAGTCAAACTGGAATTCATGCAACATTTTAGCATGAATTTTATGCCTCTTTTCTACAGCTATTTCTTAACAAGAGCTCTATTTCTTCAGTGTGTTTTACAAACACTTCCTTGTTGTTTGATGTATCTGAGCTATCTTGTGTATTGTCTGAGATCTTAACAAGCAAAAGGGAATACTCCATCAGGCTGTGTCTCTTAAACAGAGAATTTTATACATGAAGCCTAAATAGCATACAGAAATGTAAAATCTATCCAGTACAGGTTGTATTAAGGTATTTGAAAAATTGAATGAGGTATTTTCTTTTGCTTTAAGTGATATATTTGGCTTCAGTTCTAAAAGAACCAAATGTAAACATTATCCTTCTCTTTGGGAGTTTAAGCTTTATCTAGGTATTTAATATAGTCCATTTTCCAGGTCCAGGTTATCCGTGATTAGGGCAGCCAAAAAGGAATCAATCTTTTTGCGATTTTTGCTGTGCATCCAACTCTGGAAAAGTGGTGCCACTTGTTAGGGGAAGCATTAATCTATGAAAATATGGCCAAAAGCCCACCAGAGAATTTAGGCATCCATCAACCAATATGTTTAGTGTTGCCACTACACCAGATTCTGAGTGCTCCAGTTAGTAGTAAACCTTCCTCAATGTGTCTTTTTCAGGTGTGAAGAAACGGTTCATTCTAAGTGTTTAGATGCCTGGTCATGTAACAAGGTCACATGACCACTATACATACTATTATAAAAAAAATCCAATAAAAAACAAAGTCTTAATATAAAAAAGAAATAGTTGATGTAAGTTCACTTGGGGGGTTTGCTGTTCCTTAAAGTTGGACCTCCAAATGGAGGTAGCGTCAGAACTGCTCAATGGCACCATTAAAGAGCTGACTGGTGATGATTCTAAATTAGAAGACTCTTAGTTGGACTTTCCTGTACATTATCCTTTATAAGTAATAAAGGTATACAAATTATAATTTAATATAGTCGTATAAAAGTATATCGATAATTACATTCACATGCATAAAATTGCATGAAATGCATAACGTTTATAAAGTTTACACTACACTTGGTGTATTGCTTTGCTCTTTTGGTCTCTTGTTTCTTGTATGCTGGCTAAAAATGTGCTTTATGACATGCACTGGTGTGGTGAGACTGTATACAAGCTTATTTATCAAAAAGAAAAAAAAAAAATTCATATGTGATCTTGTCCTAAATTACCCTCCTTCAGGTTCAAAAGGTGGCCCTCCCCAACTACCCTGTCCATATTTTAACTCTGAACCAACAAAAATTGTCAACCTTCCTCTTTTCCTCAAACCCTGGTGAAGGCCTGGTAAAAAGACAAAGACAGAGTGAGTATTAAAAAAAGTTATATGTTGGATGAGCCCTTTGCTAGTGTACGAAAAGCTTATAAATCGACTAAATGACTCCCATGATAAGTTTCTAAAGATCTGGGGGGCCCAGAATTCGATATGCCTTGCCTTTAACAAACCACTAATGCCTCAGCTGCTTTTAGCATTGTGCCCCCTGTACTATCACAGTAAGCCCCTGAACAACCATAACAACCTCTCCCTGAAAGACCTCCCCATTTATTCCTACCACTACCCCTTCTTTTTATCGCCTCTCACTCTTCATCTTTCTACTGTACTTTCCGTTTTTCTAAGATTCCCAGGTTGTTTGTCTCTTGTCTCATTGAATCTGACATACAGATCTACTGCTGGACTATTGTCTCACTTTTTTATCAGTGAATATCGATCAAGTAGAATTTTGCAATAGGCAATACTCACAGAATCTCTAGTTTTCTTTTCATACAATTTTGTAAACTTTACTGTGAAATTTTGCCCCTGCACAGACTTATAAATTTGTTAATGCCCAACTCATAAAAATGCATAAAAAAATAGTGTTACAAGGAAACACTCTTGCTTTGATATCTTCAAGTTGGCAAAATAGAAGCAAAAACCTTATGAGATCTCTAGAACCCTAGCCCTTGAAACTGGCAGGCAAATTCATGCACTGTACATGGTCTTTTTACCCAAATGCCAGGTCATTGCTATTTGGGAGTCTCCCATCAAATCAGCTGTGTAGAAATAAGTGAAATGTTTTAACTATTATATGGGTTATATTTTTGGGGGTGTAGAGCCTGGCTTCACCCCCTGCATATTGTTGGCTGCCCCATGTAAAGTTTGTGCTGATGGTCAAAACTCCTGATGTGCTGGTTGTGTATTGTCAGTCTACTATCCAAATTTCAGTAGTACGAATTCATTTCTCAAATCTTATATGAGGCGAGAGTGGAAGCAGAAAACAGAGAGAGAAATCAGGGAAGTAGGCACTCTCTAAGTACATGACAGCTCCAGAAAGCTCTACTTTATGAGAAAAAAAACAATAGCTCAAATAGAGAGTTCTGGCTTTGTATTTATATGAAATTGAATATTATTCAGAGACAACCATGATATGATCATTACCCTAGGATCACACTGCAAGATCCACTACAGATTATTTATTTTGGATTAAAGAATCCTATAATACCATTGTCATACAATACCAAACGATTATAGAAATGTTTAAATACCTTGACGGATTGCAGACAAAAGGTCGCTCCTTGGATCGCTCACTGGTGGCAGGTTGGTTTTTGGTTTTGGGGTCAAAGATTCTCCTTCTATTTTGGTAACAGCTGGGGGAGGAGGAGGACCAGGAGGAGGAGGACCAGGAGGAGGTGGACCAGGTGGTGGTGGTGGTGGAGGTGGAGGTGGGCCTCCAGCAGGAGGGGCTGGAGGAGGAACAGGGGATGAAGGAGCATAATCCATCACTGAAGACACAGGAGGGGGAGGGGGAGGAGGAGCAGGAAATCCAGGCATAGGAGGGCATGCTGGTGGACTTGGGGGAGGAAGGTAGGAAGGGTCTGGAAACATTCCAGCTGGAGGTGGTGGTGGAGGAGCCAGAGGAGGGGAAATACTGGGTCTTCCACCAATTGGAGAGCTTATGGGAGGCGCTGGAGGTGGGTGGGCTGGGCTGACAAAGCTTCCTCGATTAGTAGTTCCAGGTGAGCTGATGGTATAAATAAAACTAGTTATTTTTAGACTGCAATTATTGATTTTACTCACTTCAGCAAAATGCCAAAATCTAAATCTGGGAATACACTAGTAGAATTTCACATGAAAATTTGTTTGAAAATTTGTACAAAAAATTCTCAGAACATCTGAATGTCCTTCGAAAGTAGTTCAAATTTCCCTGTGCTTTTAACATTCGATTTTGGAATGAATGGACTTTACCTAGCAAAAACCATAAACACTATTAGAGATTCAGGCATTCAAGAAAAATTTTCCATCTTGCTCCTTCAAATTTTCTCAACATTCGAAAATAAATGTCAAATTTGATCCCACTAATGATTAGAAATATGTAAGAACATTCTAATAATGTTCTTGCAACAAAAAAACATTGAATTAAATTCTACTAGTGTGTAACCAGCTTAGGAAACATAGCTGAATTGTTCCAAGTACTAAATAGCTGTGACAGGGTGGTAGAAGGCTTTTCCAGGTCTAATACATTTTATCAAGTGTAACTTAACTAATTAGTTCACAATAAACACATGCCAATGGTATATCTTGCTTAATCATATACAGTATACGGATTGATTAGCATTGACTACATTTGTCACCTATGACTATAACTGTCTATCTAATGAAGTGGTAATAGAGAGAGCATAATGTGGTACCACAGAGAAGTGTACAAATCTTTATGCAAAATGTGGCACCTACTGAAAATAACAGAACATGGTTTCCAAAAACAGTTCTGGTCACTATGCAGCCACAACCCTGCAAACAAAAGGCATGGAAATCACCCTGCAAAAATATAACAAGCACTTAAATGGTGTTCTACATTAAACTAAAAAGATGTAGTTTGGCAGCGCTATCAGTAGCAAGGACACCAAACAACTTTGAGCTGCTTGCAACCAAATGTCTGCTTTACCCACTGATGTCACTTGATCCATTATGCACTCTTTCCAGTTTCACAAACTATATCTAGTTTGGCCATTAAGAACCTTTGACCGCACTCATCATTTTGGTCACTTCCTCCACAGCTTTAGACACTGTACAATCGCTCTTCAAAATCTACATGATGCCCCATGCATGCACACCACAAGCTCCTTCAACTTCAGTGAAGTGCTCTTCAGGAACCTGACATTAGAAAGTCTTTCCATGGACAACAAAGGAGTCTGGGGACTGTAAATATTTTAAAGAGCCACTGTGCAGAACCATGCAGGCCCTAAAGCAACTAGTTATTCAGAGTTGCATTTCAAGTAAGTATGTTACATAAAGAAAATGTGGAAAAAAGGAAGGCCTAATTTAGGTACAGCTAAAAGAAAACTGTACATTTGTCTTTACAAACTATATAAAATGTCAGCCTAATATTTGAATCTGCAGCTGCTATAATTTTCTAGAATTAACAAATTCAAATGTTACTTCTTTGAAAAGGGGCAAACTGGGTTAATTTGTCCTGTGCAGACTAATATTCTGTAGCTCACTGATTTTCCCCAGATATCTGTACAGAGCAGGAAATCAAGTTATAGGCACACCTATTACGATAGGAGTTTAATTTATTCTATGACTTTAAAGCTAAAGGGTTATAGATGGTGCTTCTTTTCTTATTTTAACACTGAAATTGCTCAATTGATGATAAAGTTGGATTCTAACAATTCCCCAGTTCGTTTTAAATAGGGCATGGTAAAACAAGTATCCCTTTGGTCAGAACAGAGAAAGGTAAACATCTGCAATAAAGTTTTAAAAAGTTCTCACATTGTAAACAGATCCTAGAAGGATTTTTTTGTGCTATAAATATGAATACTGGCTACACAGCATTATCGGTTTTAGTTTAAAGCAGTATTTAAACCAAAACCAAAGATGTAATATATTGCAGTCTACCAATTCTTAGTTGTGGTTGAATTATTTTCCCCCACGCTGTATGAAAAGGCACAGGAGCACCTTTGGACAGCAGCATTGTCAGTCTGGGTGGAGGGTAGTGATATATGTACTAGCAGATTTAAATACATGAACAAATTAAAGACAAACTTCAGGTAACACTTTATAATCGGCTACAGCAAATAATTTTTTTTCCTTCTGGGATAAAGGTTTTACAGGAATAAGTAAAAGCTGATCATTGCAAGCACCCCGCTAGTGGTATTTGTTAACTGACACATCTGCAAGAGAGCTTGTTCTTCTGAAACACAGACTCGCTGGCTGAAAGCCTAAAAAAGAAAACTAATACAGCAATCACATCTAAGAATTGGTAAGCTGCAGTATAATAAATTATTGCTTTTGGGTTTAATATTAATTTAAGCAATCTAGACCCCCAGACTGAATGGTTATACATAATGATGTTTCAGAGAATGCCCAGTTCATTAAGGAGATTTTAGATTTACAATTAGATGGGTTGAAAACTTGTTGCATAACGGGCGTCAGAGTTTTTGACCCATATCTTGCGCTATTGATTGTCCATATGCATACTATCTGCTAAACTAAATGATGACTTTACCGACTCGGCTCCTACATAAGAACATGATCCATTTAACCGCACTTGTCTGTCCTTCCACTGCTTCTTCTCCTTCCCCCAAATTCATATTTGGGGGAGGGAGTGGGAGAGGGGAAAGGGGAGGAGGGAGAAGTAAAGGAATAATTTATTATTGTTTTTTTTTTCCCCCCTCCACACCCCACCCCCTCCAATTACATCACTTCACATTCCTTTCTCTACCCGTTCTATTTTCTCAGGCTTATCTTTATTCTTCCTTTAGTAAATACTCACATCATTCACATTTCCTCAACAGAATATAGCAGTTACTTCCTTACAGATGCAAATACTTCTAGGTAACACACATTTTCTAATCCGGATACACAACACAGAACACGCAACCTCTTCAAAGCTACCCTTACCTGACACTTCGTATCCCCTCATCATAAAAGCTCATTATTACATGGGTCAGTTCCCTTTACTATATACACCTGTCTTACTGCATTGTAATCTACATGTCTGACCCGTCTGCGATACGGGACGCCGTTTATTGTGTCTATTCTTGGACTGCGATCCGTAGTTGTATTTGCTTTGCTATGCCTTATTCTTTAACAAAATATTTTTGGAGAAAAAAATATTAATTTAAACTTGAACCTAAATAATGAAATACCGGCTAACTAATAATGTTTACCTAAAATCCATAGGTGGAGGTGGCAGAGAATCATCAGGAGCTGGTGGTGGGCTTGGAATGTCGTCATTTGAAGGCGGTGGGGGATAAAAAGATATATCAACCCCATCCACAGGGCTTATGGTTCCATCCTGATTAAACTGAACCCTGAAATGCACAAAACATAAAAAAAATGTTAAATACATTATTTTTAAAATAACATTCTTTAAAGTGTATTTAAAGACAAAACTTCTTTTTTTTTTTTTTTTGAATAGAGGGCGAGGAGGCAGAAGGCCTGTCAGACTTTTATTGCTGTCTGTGTCCCCATTAGCCGAATTCACCCCCTTTGTTTGTCCTAGTGACCACTGTCACTGAAACAGAAGGTGTTGGGGAAATCCAACATTTTGAGTTGCCACCAGAATAGGAATTGTGGGAAAAGCTTCTGGGGAGGGACGGGAGGGAGGGGTTGGCACTTGTACATCTTGCAAATATTTTCTTCCCCTGTTATGTCTCCAAAATTGGAGTAAAATCAGCTCAATGTGGTACAGATAAATACAGAAAAAAAAAAACTTGGATTTTCACTCTTTCACACCAACCAAAATGAATAGCTTGGAATTTAGTTTTAGTTAATAAAAAGGTCAAAAACCTTACTCAGATATTGATAGATTGTCTTTTTGTTCCTCAAATTCCTTGCCCATTTTCATCTTCTCCCATTCATCTTTTCGTGTGCGGATTTTACGAGGATTCACATTCCCACGGTTAGGATTATCTTTCTTTTCTCTCTATGTAATGTAAAAGTGGTACCATGGGTTAACATCTTCAGTTGCTAATACATTATACTGGCTGGAAATATTCTTATAGTACATTTGAAATGCTAAAAGGTGGATACTGAATATCCAGTCATGGTATTTATGTATGTCTTCTTTCCATCTCCTTTTTGCAGCACATTAATAAAGCAAAGAACATGTACCGTAAACAAGGACTGTTGACCTATGTGTTAAATATTATATATTTATTAATGCCTTATCTACAATATCTTCAGTAACTTTAAACCTATGCACTGAATTTCTAACTTGACTAAAAGCACACTTAAGGCACACAGGTCTCTACATCCCTACTATAGCTAGAAATGAGAGGGGTTACACTGGACTGTGCTAAAGCTTTGTCAGTGTCCAATCTCCTAAAAGGAAGCGGCTGTGTCCCTTATCCACTTGCCCTCCAGAGGATTTACCCCCTTCCTGACCAGGCCATTTTTTCTGATATGGCGCTGCGTTACTTTAACTGACAATTGCGTAGTCATACAACGCTGTACATAAATAAACTTTATGTCCTTTTTTTCCCACAAATAAAGCTTTGGTGGTATTTGATCACCTCTGCGGTTTTTATTTTTTGCATTATAACCAAAAAAATACCGTCAGTTTTGAAAAAATAAATATATATTTTTTTACATTTTGCTATAAAACATATGCAATAAAAAAAATTAAAGAAATCAAATTTCATCATAAATTTAGGCCAAAATGTATTCTGCTACATGTCTTTGCTAAGAAAAAAAATCCCAATACGTGTAAATTAATTGGTTTAGATGAAAGTTATAGCGCCTATAAATGGCGGTATATAGAATGGAATTTTTTTAAATTTATTTTTTATACTAGTAATAGCGGCGATCAGCGACTTATAGCAGGACTGTGGGACTGCGGTGGGCATTCTGACATTGGGAAGGAACTGTCACCGATATCCCCAGTGACACTAATACAATGATCAGTGCTAAAAAAAAAAAACAAAAAAAGCGCTGACACTGTTTTAATGACACTGGGCAGGAAGGGGTTAACTTCTGGGCGATCAAAGAGTTAACTGTGTGCTGTGTTTGTTTTACTATGTTTGCTGTGTTGTGTTTCACTAAAGGATAGAGACCTCTTGTTTACACACAGATCTCTCCCGTCAGCTTTACACGGCGATCACCGAGTGCCGGCTGGGAATCGATGGCCGGGACTCGGTGACTGACATCCCTCAACAGCGCCCTGGTAGTTCACTGAGAACTACAAATTGTGGGAGTAGTTTTTGTTCAGGGTGTCACTCAGTCCGTGCAAGGCGCCAACTATGGATGCAGCAAAAGATCCCCAGACCATCATGCTTCCTCTACGTATGACAGTCTTGTTAACACACTGATAAACCATTCTTTCACATACTCAGCAATGTACAAAAACCCAGAGTGATGAGCAGAAGATCCCACATTTTGATTCTGTAGTGCACTGGTGGTGCTTCATTGCCCAGGCAAGCCACTTTTTCTTATTTTGCCATCATAGCAATGGCTTTCTAACAGCCACTCAATCTGTCCAGCATGCAGCTTCAAGTCTTCTCTTCACAGTTGAAACCGAGACTTGCTTACGTCAATCAGTGTTAAGCTGTTGTCCTGTGAGCTGCCTGTCATTCAAGCTGTTTGTTGACGCTCAGAAACTTGTCTTCTGATTCGGTTTTGGCTTTGCCAGACCTCCTCCTGTCAGTTTCCTCCAGTTTCCAAGTGATTTTTGATGGTGTAGGACACTGTACACACTGACACCTTGGCTTTCTTTGCAATTTCTCAAAAGGAAAGATCTACACTTCTAAAGGTTTTATTGGTCTGACTGTCTTCCTTTGTGAACTGCTTTTTTCTCACCATTTTGAGAGCAATATACTACTCCCTGTAGTTCAATAGTGTCCAAATATTGCTTAAGAGGGTGTAGTCTGTTTCAACACTGCTTTTATACAGAGAGGTTGTAGTCAACGAATGTTGGGACACATGTAGGAATTAGTATAAGCTTGCAAGGCTTAATTTACTTACATTGCTGTAGTACAACTGTGAGTTGTTAACACATTATTTCTTCCCTGAAAAAGGCATTTTTGTATATCTCTGAAATGTTCATTATTTTTCCGTTTTTGTTAACCTAAACTTTGTTTCTCACCCTTGGCAGTATATTGCTCACCTTTTTACGATTTCAGGTTATTCACTAAACTTGAACCGTTTAAATTTCAAACTTTCATTGAAAACTGGAAAAATAGGGGTGTTCTAAAACTTTTGACCGCTAATACAGGTAAGTCAAAATCCCCTTTCTCTGTACATGGCACGAGAGTTAATTTTTATACCATGAGATGTCCCCAAGCAATAATCAAGGGGTGGTTAACAAAACAGCCAATATTTCAGCAACAGGCCCACAAAAAAGAACAAGAAGCTTCAATAGATCTGAATAGACAACAGCAGAAGCATCTTGTAACCAAAGTAGGATTCAGCAGAGGGTCAAATGTAATAAAAAGTACATTTAAAACATGCACAGAAAAACAGGCAATGGTCCTACAACCATTGAGAAGGACCAATGCTAAATACTCTAAGGAACCCGAAAACCCCCAAACTCTTAGGGGGACTGGATTCAAGTAGGAACTCGTTCCCTGAGGACAGAAGACCTGGAAGAAGGGAAAAATAACCACCCAGCTGGGTGGAAGAGGGGAGTGGATTTACATAAAAACCACCCTGTGAAAACAGAAGGGTCAGTTGGCAAGGAAATACATGGCAGGCCAATATAGATTACATTCCTGACATCAGCATAAGACAAATTGTAAGTGTCTGACATGCCTTCAAGGTTGATCACAAGGAGGAAAAATGACATTACCATAGAAGGCAATAAAAGGAGCCCCAGGGAAGCAAGGAGGACAGGCTTCCATGATATATTGTCCCCATGTAGCTTAAGAAAAAGAGGGGGGAAGAACACAGGGAAGGGCAAAGCAGAACTACTGCTATTAGGGTTGATAGAGAGAAGGCAGTTCCATTCCTAAAAGAGACTCTTACTATAAAGGTGAAATCACTTTGAGCGCAAAGGGAGGGCTCTGTGTGGGCAAGAGCACCTGGGAAGGCTGCAGAGAGGCACAGTATATTGCAAGAGCAACAAAGAAGAGGAACTTCATGCAAAAGAGAGTGCACAAAAGAGTATGAAGCCAAAGTGTTAGGAAAAGGAAATACAAAACCTAGCCAAGACATGTTGAGTCCTAGACTAGGTGCGAGAGCTACCTCACATGATAGATTACAGAATGTGGGGGGAGTGACCTTCATGCACCCGGGAAGAGAGTGGCACCAAACTGAGAAGTTGGAGAGATGCTAGAAGATCTCTAAAAGAGAGTCTGTAGAGTAGTCACATAGTAAAATCTGTATAATAACATGGGCAGGTAAGTAAGTGCCGAGGTATTTACAGACTGCTTGGAGGGGAGAAATAAGCACTTAAGGGGTACAGAGAATTGGGGCTTGGGCCCTGCAACCTTTTCCAGTACTTGGTTGGTGAACGAAGTTGATTAGTGCCAAGGCCAGTTCTATTTTGAGCATACCAAAACTCAGAGCAGGGTAGCCCAGAGAGACCTGTGTAGAAACGGGGATCCATGTAATGAAGCTAACTTCTGCACATAGTGAGAAGTAGGATTCCAGTGACCTTGAGTGAAGAAGCTGAGCACTGTTGGTTCCAAAAGTATCTGCCAGTAGAACCTGAGGGAAATTCTCATGGAGATGCAAGCAATGTGTGCCAATGTTAGCAAGGTCATGAACATAGGGTCAGTGATAGACAAAATGTTTCACTGAAGGGAACAAAATTATAACAATATGAGGATTACACCCAGATATTCCAAGCAGTACAGGTAGGAGCAAGAAGCCTGAGAAAGGTGAGGAGCAAACTGGGAAGTGAGAACATCAGTGTTTGGGCCCACGGTAAGAGGGGAAAAAAAAGTCTCCAAGGCACCCTGGGTTATGAAGGCTTGGAGTTTAAATAGGGGGCAAGTTATAGTGTACCACAAGGTGTGGTGGGTTCAGTAATGTAAAAACTACATTGAAGAGTGGATAGATGGGGGGTGGAGAGACACCCATCACATTGTGGTTGTTTTTAAAGTTATAAGACCTCTCAGAAAGACATAGTGGTAGATCTATAGAAAAACAGGCAGAAGCCACACTGCCGGAGTAGATTTTGTGATAAGCCAGGAGGCTGGTTACTGTAGTAATTAGAGTAGATGTTTTTAGGAGCAATGATGGGGCATGCAATTTCTGAGTGGAAAAGGGTCTATGTGCAGGAGTTTGAAAAATCCTTGTAATCCTCTGTAAGAGGGTAAGAGATGACTACCTCTTGTAATTGTAAGCTGCAAGGAGATGTAGGAAAAACAATTTGCCTTGTGAAGCAGCAAGCAGAAACATGTAGCAGAGAAAAAAACAACAGAGGACAGCCACAGAGATATTTTTTGTGTACCTCTCCAAAAGATAGGGGGGGAAAAGGTTAGGACGTCTTTACTTAATGTGGAGCAAAAATTAATAGACATCCCCCCTTCCTTTGTCAAGGGGTGGGAGCAACTTTTAATACAAAAAAGGTTTATTAGTAGGTCCAGTGGGCTTAGCAGTGGGGGGTCTGCCATGAGGGGAAGGACCAGCAGTAGATGAGGACTCCCAGAAGGGACAAAGAGATCTTAGCTGTATGGTAGAGGAAAGCCACTACGAATGCCTGAAAGGAATTTTCCAAACCTTCAAAGGGCATGAGTAAAAGGCACCTGTCACAGGAGGGTTCTGCTGAACAGGCTTTAGGCCATAAACTTATGCGCATATACACAAGAAAACAGGGATATTGTGGAGATCTAAGAAAATCTTGCAGCAAGTTTAGGATTATCTATAAGTGGAGAAAGTTCACTATTGATTTCTTAATCAATTCAGTTTGCCATGGCCTGGCTAATCGATTAAGTGGACTCAAAATAGTCTCCAAATTCTTATCAACTGCATCTTTAAAGGAGA